TCTGTTATCTTTTGATTTTGTTGATTATAGGTGATTTTCAGAAATGTACAATGATCGTTAATATTTAGCCATAAACAAACGAAATATTACTGAATATAATTAATATTCAATTAAATGGGAACTAATCTATTCATGTTCTGCAAAAAACGCATACATTCGACTGATTTTATATGTTTTAGAAAAGTTAAGGTAGCCCTATAGGTACCTTATACTTAAGTATAATCTGAGGCGTTTTCTTAGTATAAGGGGTTTTATGCATGCCACTTAAGTTGTGTGGGCGTGACTTAAACCAACTAAGATTTTACTAAGGAAATACTTAATTTAAGATTTTTTATGCATACCACTTAGGTAAAAAGGGCGGAGTTTCCATAACTTAAGTGTTTACTAAGGTTGAAGTCTTCTCTCTATACAAAATTAAATTTTCGTTAATAGCAATATATCACTGAATATATAAGGAAAGTTGAAAAATAATTTAATAAGGTTTAGGTATCATAGATACGTTATATAAACTTCGAATTCCATGGGGTAGGTCTTAAAACTTTCCGATTTTGTCCCAATAAGTGAAACAAATTCAGGTGAAATTTGCCCTACATCTTTAGGGCAAACCTAATTAATTGAAAATTCATCCGACCCCCCCCCCCCCCCCCCCCCCCCCAAAAAAAAAAAACCAAAGCAAAACAAAAAGATCACCACCACACACACCGTGACACACAGAAAAAAGGATTTTGCATGCATGAAGTTCCTCATCCCTGTCTTCCTTAATACTGTTTTTTACTAACGGTTATAACTGATGCCACGCGGTGTATTTTAACAATATACCGTACCTACAAAGTTATTTGTGTGAACATGCACGTACAGAGTATTCAAAAGGAAAATAATAGTATGAATTCCATGCGCGTAAAAACTGAGTACTTTTCGGTATACACAACAACGAGATTGAGAAATAAGGGTAGAATGAAGTCATATAACTACCCTCTGTTATCTCTTGAATTGTTGATTATACGTGATTTTCAGAAATTACCATGATCATTAATATTTATAAATAAATTAACGATATATTACTGATATAATTATTAATCAATTAAATGGTAGATAAACTATTAATGTTCTGCAAAAAGCGCATTCTTTCGACTGATTTTTAACTATTTTTGAAAAAATTAAGGTAGCTCTATATATTATTAGGTACCTTAGACTTAAGTATAATCTTAGGCGTTTTCTTAGTATAAGGGGTTTTATGCATACCACTTAAGTTTTGTGGGCGTGACTAAAAACAATTAAGATTTTACTAAGGAAATACTTAGTTTAAGATTTTTTATGCATACCACTTGGGTAAAAAGGGCGGAGTTTCCTTAACTTAAGTGTTTACTAAGGAAAATCTTAACTTAAATAGCTTTATGCAAGCGGGCCCAGAGTGTGTGGCACTCTCTCTACACGAAGCATAGGATTTAACTCCCTAGTCTGACCGGACATGGTTGCGTACTTGTACATCCCGCACATCCAAACGAACGTCCCGTTTTGGCAAGAGTTTTACTGTTGGTCGGAAATAGACCAAATACCGTACTTCTGGTCGCCACTCACCCTTAGGGATAAAAAAAAAAATATATAACAATACAATAAGTAGAAAAAAATCCATCAGGAGAGATTCTTAAGAGATACAAAAGAAGTGGGACAACTTATACATGGCGTGATATATGTAAATTATCAAAAGATTCCGAGTTATCCACTTGCAATTTATTCTTTTTAGCAAACAAAACTCCAAGCATTCGAGGAATCGCTGAATGGAAACTCAACATTATCTTGTAGCAAATCATCCAGCCTAATAATGGTATATGCTAGTAAAATCTTAATGAGAAAATAAATCCACGTCATCATATTAATAAAACAGATTTGTTCCATCTCTGAGCCACCGACCATTCATCTTTGATGAGCGATGCTGAATGGAATTGCAATGTGTTTATTTTCTAGAGACAATAATATATTTTTTTAACTCTAACAATACATGATAAAGTTTTTTTTTAATTTCGATTTAAAATAAATTTTTTTATCACTCCCTTTTACAACAATAAAAAAGGGGGTATGATCATTTTCCATGAATTCATATCAAAACAGGGGCATTTTTCAAAAGTCCTTCAATCTTTTACTAAAACACACATTATTAGATTCATAAATGTTTTCTGTAAGGTATTATCAACATCTATACGTATTTCCGAATATTTCGCTTGACAGTTATCACGCCGAAAGATGACTCAAAACTGCATGTATTTATGGTAGGTTTTATAAGGAAATGAGCAATTATCCAAAACTTGCGAGAAGGACCTTATTGTTTTATTGGAAGTTATAACAAAACATTTTTTCAGATACACCATAATTTATTTAGGTTAAAGTCTTCCAGTCTATGCAAATTTGCAATATTTTTGTCAACAGCAATATATCACTAAATATATAAGGACATACAAAAAATTATTGAATACGGGTTAAGTATCATGAATATATCATATATATATAGACTTCGAGTTCCATAGAATAGTCTTAAAACGTTTTGATTTGTCCCAGTTAGTGAAACAAATTCAGGAGAAATTTGCCTAATACACGTAGAAAAAAAACCCAATTTAATTGACAATTAAACCCATGTCCCCCCTCCTCCCCAAGAAAACAGGATTTTGCATGCCTATAGATCCTCATCGCTTCCTTCCTTCCTACAGTTTTGTACTAACAGTTACAATCAGTACCAGGCGGTGTATTTCATAATACTTGTGTAAGCAGCACGAACAAATCAAAAGAAAAATAATTGCATGAATTCCATGCGTGTAAAAACTGTGAGTACTTTTCGGAATACACACTAACGAGATTGGGAAATAAGGGTAGAATGAAATTATAAAACTACCCTCTGTTATCTCTTGATTTTGTTGATAATAGGTGATTTAATGAAAATTACAATGATTGTTAATATTGAGCAATGAACAAACGAAATATTACTGAATATAATTATTATTCAATTAAATAGGAGCTAATCTATCCATGTTCTGTAAAAACGCATACATTCGACTGATTTTATATATTTTAGAACAGTTAAGGTAGCTCTATAGGTACCTTATACTTAAGTATAATCTTAGGAGTTTTCTTAGTATAAGGGGTTTTATGCATACCACTTAAGTTTTGTGGGCGTGACTTAAACCAACTAAGATTTTACTAAGGAAATACTTAGTTTAAGATTTTTTTATGCATACCACTTAGGTAAAAAGGGCGGAGTTTTTCCTTAACTTAAGTGTTTACTAAGGAAAATCTTAACTTAAGTAGATTTATGCATACGGGCCCTGATTCATACTTATTATCATGATACTTAAGAGCGGGTGTGAACTTACATGAACAACACTACAGGTGCCACACATGAAACAGGACTTACTTATCCTTCTGGAGCACATGAGATCCCTCCAGGTTTTCGGTGGGATTCTTGTTGCTCAGTCTTTAGTTTTCTATGGATTGTATACTGTTATTTGTTTTGATCTTTTTTTCGTCTTTTTTGCCATGACATTGTTAGTTTGTTTTCGACTTATGAGCTTGAATATCCTTTTGGTACCTTTCACCTATCTTTTACGCACAGTCTTATTATCAACCTCAGAATTAATAGAATATCTTCCAATAATCTAACTGCTCCAAGTATTTTATTTCATTTTGTCCTCTTTTTTTACTGTAGGAAACAGCAGAAGTAAAGCAAGTAAGCACTCCGACGCACCAAACTTATAAAATGTTTTCCGTCTGCCTCCGACAACTTTTCACTTTATCACCGTATTGAATGAAAACGGCTAAGCGCAATACATGCAAGCTTTCAACTATTAGAAACACAAAGTTGGATAAAATGTTTACTGGATGAACCTTTTTGTATTTAGTGTTTTGAGGTGGGAGGAACATGCACGTAGCCGTTATGTTAAAACAAGCAGTCTGATTTATTGAAATGTTAAGAAAGTCGTTCGCATTACAGATTGATCAAACGAAGATTACTCATATCGATAAACTTCAGGCCTGTCTGTCATAAAACATTACTGAGTACTAGGAGTACACAATGTGTGCTCGAAACACCAAAAGTATTTTGATTTGTTGATTTCTGAGTCTGAGTACGGTAAAAATGTTATGACTAAAGGTAATGAATCCAAAAATAAAATGATGTTTTATAAATTCATCATACAACATCCTTCTGATATTAATAAAACATTATTTATATATGCAAGTGTATTTTTAATGCTTTATTACTACAGTTGATTGCATGGTTAAAAAGTATTGTTCTAAAAATATGCATTATAACGCACTTTCTCTAATTCTTACCCGATTTATCCTTTTCCTGACCTGTTGATTATTTTTATCTAATCAACGTGTGGTTCTTTTGATCTCAGTTTTTCGTTGGTCAAATTCGATTATGACATCAAGTGTTCTTGCTTTCCTCTGAATTTCCTATTGTGAAGTCACGAAAAAAGGCGACCATGCCTGATGAAGTGACACAGAAAGAACACATCTGTTTTGCAAATCATTTGAAAAAAGGATTAAGATAATCTGTTTATCGTATAAAAATCATTAGAGAAACAGATTCAACCATCAAATAAGATTAAAAAGCAACACGATACTTATCCACTCTTGACAGTTAAATTTTAATAATCAAAACGCTCGGACTGCCTCGCGTTTTGAATTTAAGAATTTAACTGTGTCGAGTTGATAAATATCGTAGCACACTTGATGCAGGGATAGAATCTATATCAAACCTTTTTTTTTAAATTCGATTTCGAGTTATTGTACAAAAACCATATATTCCATGTACAATTGTGAACTTGGAATAGTACTTGTTTGTTTGTTTGATGGTATATGGCTATTGTAGCTGGAATGAAAAACCAATTCTTTGTAAAATAAAAGATCTTTATTATTTGCTGGTCAATGTCCAAGTGTATACATGATAAACAATACATAATAAGTTCATACATATATAATTGAAATAAACATTATTCATTTAAATTGATTGCATAATAATATAAAGATGGAACATATATATTCGCATTATAAAACAATAAAGATAAAATGGGGGAGCTAACTAGCTCAGTTAAATTAATGTGCTGATGCCAAATAATGTCAACATGAGTGAGACAAGGGCCTCTTTTTGAATTTTGATAAGTGTTGCCATGGTAACCAAATTATTCACTTTAAAACTAAGTTAAATATGATGTGTAAACAGAATATTATTAATTTAAACACACGAGTATAAAAACATTATAATTATTTACAACAAAGGAATCTGAACAATAAAAATGTATGTGGCTACAAAGAGAGAAATGCGTTTTATTTTCATTTGTAGTTCTGACTTTAAACTAAACATTTATACATGATTCTAACGAATACTTAAACTTTCTAAATGACTAAAACAATATACAAAACTCTGGTTGTTACCTTTAAGCCTTCATAGTGAATCAAATGCACATTCTTAATAATTTTGCATTTGACGCAGTGTTTATTTTATTTTTAAAAGTGTTAAATACAGCTTAATACCGCTCTGTTTTTCAACATCATATATGGAATAAAACGTACTATTAACTACTTGCGCTTCATGATCAGATTCAAATTAACTACTAAATAACTCAATAAAAATACCAACGCTAAATAATATTTACACGATAAAGTAAATGACTAAAATAAATAAGTCTTGTCTTTCAAATACTTAAACATTACAAAATACCAAAATATGTCACAAAGTCGTGTTATTTAAATAATGCAATTATCTAATTATTAAAAAGAGGGAGAAATATGCTAAATTCAATAATAGGAAACATAAAGACTTTGTCTCTAAAAATAACTATCAAAATTAAAAAATTCTGTAAATGTAAAAATACTTTAACTTCAACTAAGCTGTTACGGCTGCAACTATACCCTTTTCGGTTTATAATATCTTAACATCTAGAAAATATTCATTTAAAATATCAATGCATAAAACATGAAAATATCCATTTACAAATATCAACTTATAAAACTTAAAGTTACACTCACCTGGAAAGAAAAAAACAATTCTTTCTAAAATAAAAGATCTTTATTATTTGCTGGTCAATGTCCAAGTGACCAGAAATTCATAAAATACAATTTTTGTTTCATTCCCAAGTGAGGCCCATATAGGTAAAATAATTATGTAAACAAAGGAAATATCTCATAAACCCTTTCACTGGCCCCATGTCACCTAAGAGCTCAAATCTACGATAGCGTGGTCTTAATCCGGACATGCTAATCCAACATATTGTCAAAGGTTACATAATATTCGCTATCGCTTATGTAAAGGTTAGACAATACTTGGTCATGTTTTATGAAGATTTAAAGCCCAAGGCGTAGCCGAGGGTTTTAAATGTTCATAAACATGACCAAGTATTGTCTGACCAATTTAGAACATATTCACACTTTCGAGTGACCTTACAAAATTATCCTTTCCCATTGTAATATTCAAACCTTGATAAGAATTCACTTTTTATAATGAAGTGTTAACTAGGTTAACAAAACGAATGTATAACACATGTAATGATCATTTCAATGGATGGAATGAAATAGAACTAACATAGTTTTGTGAGGACAAAAAGGATGAATTGTTCAAACATTGAGTTTTTCGTCTGCTTCAGGTAAAATTTAATACTTATATACCTTAAATTTCTTGATTTTAAAAAGCACACAATGTTATATAAATCAGCTTTTTGAAATTTGTATATTTTTTGATAAATATAAAACTCACTCTATAAATATTTGAATTACAACCATTCAACATCAGATGCTTAATTTTTATTGAATGTATATGTATTGTGTTTTTTTTTTTCAGAAAAAAATCCTTTGCTATATATATCAGCAGTCTGACATTGTTTTCTTGAAAGAAAAAAAAATAATTAACTCGAATGTCTGGTATCAAATTTGAATAAAAGATTATTTTACCTACATCTTTGCCCCCATTTCATTTTTTGTTTGTTATATATATGTACCATGATAAACATTTGCAAAATTCAAAATGTTTTTTATAATTCTATTCACTTTCATCTTTAATCAGTAGGCTATTTTCCCAAGGAAGTTGCCTCGGGGGATTGTACACTTCGTTAGGGTAGTTACTTAGAGTTCCCTTTCATAATTAATCTACAATGAAAAGTCATTCATGTCAAGCATTTTATAGTGCATGGAAAGCAATGTACTATGAAAATAAGAAGGGAAAAAACTGACTTTTCATTGGACGAGAAGAGGTGAATATGTTCTAAAGATAATATGATAAACTCTAATTTAAAGCCTTTGTAAATCTTTTGTAGAAAAATGGCAATCATTAGCTATTTTAATTCTTTGTCCTACTCTGGTATTTTATTTAATCTCTTTTAAAATTATCTTATAAATTTGGGTGACATGACGACAGTGAAATTCTTTTTATTTGTAAAATAAATCAAAATTCATTTCTATCAAAACTAGTAAAAATATGTAAAAGATCTAGAAGAAAAAGTGATGTTGCATTTTTCCTTATCACACAATTCAATATGGAAAAGATATTACATCATGTACACTGTGTATTAATTCATGACACCCCATTATTACGCATACACTACAAAATCAACTGCAAAATGTTTTTTTTTTTGCTATTGTTTATCTCAAAATCACGACGAAGTCTTCAACATGCATGTAGCTAAAACTCCCAATTGACTGAATGCTCAGTTCAGAAAGTAGTCTAAGTACTGTTTCAATAGCCTGTCAATACTGACGTTGTGAATTCAAATCCCGCACGTGGCAACTGCTAGGATTGGCAGTTTTCCTTCGGTGGTTCTCTCCGGGCACTCCGTCTATCCTCTACCAATAAATATTGACCGCCACGAAGTTGCCAATAGTGCTGAAAGTGGCGTTAAACACCAATCAATCAATCAGTACAATTAAACTTTTATTAATTGATTATATCTTTAAAGACACTCCTTTTACTGTAAAATACAGAACAATATGAGAAGTTAGACAATTACGGGGAACGTCAAGATATTTGTTAGATGATTTGGCAGGAACTTACGTACGAATAAGAAAAATAAGACGGGTAGACGGCATAACAATTTTTTTATATTAGAATAACGAGAAAAAGAAAAAAATTGAAGTACCAAACATTTATGAAATTTTATCGAGAATTAATTCGCCGTAACAGTAAAATGCGGCATCCAAATACCACGAACGACAAACTCTATGAACATCAATGATAAGAAAGGATATGGCGCATCCATTCCTTTCACAAAAATCACCATAAAAGAAACAAAAAGCAAAGGAACAGCTTTTCATTTCTGTTATTCAAAGTCACAGTGAGGCCTATGCTTATATATTACAAGTTTACATAACTTTAAATAGGTCAGTAGAAATGATGGAGACTTTCAGTCTCCGAGAATGGCTGTTGCATTATGATGCTGACAAATTTGGGAAAAAATACAATTTAATTGTGAAAAAAAAAATACAATTTAATTTAAAAAAAAAAAAACAATTCAATTGTGAAAAAAATACAATTCATTTGTGAAAAATATAATTTAATTGTGAAAAAAATACAATTTAATTGTGAAAAATACAATTTGATTGTGAGAAAACTACAATCAAACCGATTTAATTGTAAAATACATCGGATTCCGTCAAAAAATTAGGCTAATTTAAAAACTCTATACAATCTTGACTATATTGTCTTTGTAGGCTTTATTGAAAGTTGAGGTCTGACTTCAATAAATGACACTGACTCGTCTTCATCGTCTCCTTTCGTAACTTGAATGCATAACAATCTGTTTTTGTTGTTGTATGAAATAAACCTTGGCAAATTTATTTTACCTCCAGATAATAAAATTTGTTTATCCCTTCCATTATCCTTGTTTAATCCAAAAAGGGCATTACACCGTCTACTGCAGATAACCAAGTTGTTCCCTGGAGTGCAGTCTTCTTGAACAATACTTATACCTCTCGGGCTTGGGATGGATACCTTCCAAACTTCTTTGCCTTGAAAATCAACACAAAATACCACGTTCTTACTCAATGCTGATAGGAAAACGCGTCCTTCCAATGGATTATGATTTTTCACCTCGAGCGCGAGACGTATTGTGTTTCCAGTAAAGTATGCAAAATTCTTATTATGTATTTCGTTATGAATTTGTTTATCGTTCATTATAATTATCTTTCCATCGTCACCTTCGCCCACTTCGACTACAAAGAAGTCGTTATCGAATGCAATACTATATGGTTTTGAGTTGTACAGTCCAAAGGAAGGTAGACCAATACGGTTTAGTTTACCAATAGAGTTTTCAGAAATTTTATATATTCGTATTTCCATTTGAAAGGGAAACGTTATAGCAATATGTTGTCCAGTCATTGAAGTAAGTGCGTGTGGTTCCTCTTCTAAATATGTTCTAATTTTTTCTTCTTTTGATTTGAAAACAAGCAAGTTGCGATTGTTTTTATCAACTAATACAAGTCTACCGTCAGCTATGTAAGACATTCCGCAAATGCGAATGGGGTACGGCTCTTCTCTTTTCTTAATTGACAAATCCTGAAAATAGTTAAGTTTTTCTTCAGACTTTTGTCTCTGTAGTTTAGGATGACCTTGATAAATTATCAACATTTTAGTTCCTTTACAGCTTGTATGGATTTGGCTCTCTGCACAAGACTCGCACATTAGGTTCAAGCAGGTTGTACAAAGTTGTTCGGCCTTATTTTTAACGCATTTACCACATATGATTTCTTCTTGATTCCCAGCAACATGTGGTATGTGAATAATATGATGGTCTTTTTCCGATTCTGTATGAACGTCGGAGCATATCTTGCAATATATCTTTCTGCAGTTTGTACACATTGTACATACCGGAATCTCTGCACAAATATCGCATAAGGTTTGAGAAAATGAGACATCTGAAAAATATGAAAATATTTATGAAAAAAAATCGAAAATATTTGCACAATTAAGATAAACGGATCTAATTTCACTGCACCAGATACGTATTTCGACAATTGTTGTCTTTGCATTGATGCTCGAGGCCTAACTATTTGAAAATACAAACGTTAAAGCGTGGATCAAACCCAAAAATCACATAAAAATATAACCTAATCCAGAAAAGGTATCATAGTTTTGCATCAAGGATATATTGTCCTTCCTTGAAAATGATTTCCAAATTTTTTTTTACAGCAAATTGGTAAATTTTAATTAGTATACAATATACCAATAATTTCATGCCAGAACCAATGAACAGGCTACTGAGCTGGTGATACCCTTAGGGATTATGTGCATATACAACAACAACAACAAAAACAATGTTTCAGTTAAGAAAACATTTTTATAACGGTTCTATTTTAAAGAAAAGAGAAATTTGATTTGAGACGCTTCAGTTAAAACCAAATTTTCAGATACGGGAAATTTGTGCTGATTTTAAAAGTCCTTATATTAAGGCTACATGTAATTCGCTGTAGTAATCGCCTACAAAACTCAACCATATACATGTATATCAACAACTAACGGCAATTGATAGTATATCCGATCTTGAAACACTCGCCCGATACATGCAGGATATTTTTGTAACTTTGATTAGTTCAGTAATTTATCATACCACTAGGCTGTTTAGCAGGCAGTTATTCGGTGTTGTTTTGTTTTCGATTAAAAGTATCAAATTGTATTTTGTGATAATTGGTAGCACCAAATAATTTTTTTTACCAGTACCGTCTCATATCTAATTTTCAGCAAGCAGAAGCAGACGTCCCCAGTTTTGACTTCAAAAATAAGTTTCAGGAAAAGAACTACTTTTCGGCGACCTATGCACGTCCCGAGTTCATCATGCATATTTTAGTATTATACGTGATACAATAGATAATGAAAACAGGGAATGTGTCAAATAGACAAAAACCCGATCAAAGAGCAGAAAACAGTCCAACGACACCAATGGGTCTTTAACGGAGCGAGGCGCGATTCAGCTGTCCCCTAAACAATAATGTTTACTAATTCAGCGAAATGGACGACACACTAAACTCCGAAACATACAAATGAATCAACATTAAAAAACACACAAGACTAACAACGGCTAGATATTTCTGAATTGGGACAGGCCCAAAAAAGCGGCGTGGTCTAACCTGTTTTGTGAGATCCCAACCCTCCCACTTTACATCTAGCAATTGTGAAATAAACAAACACACAGGAATACGCACAGTAAACATCAGTTTAAAAGGAGTCCGAGTCCGATGTTAGAATAGGTTACAGAAGAAAATAAGAAAAATTAACAAAGAACTAGTAACAGTTTCTGATATGCCAGCTCCAGACCCCAAATAAACTGATTGAAAGGTTATGTCTTCATCATATGAAAATCAACCACAATCCACAAGTTCAACAGGATAAATCTCTTTAGTGTACATACCGAAGTCGTCATTATTGAGAGCAAAAACATCATCCATTAAATATAAAAATGTTATTAACTTTTTATTACGTGAATATAGATAAACCTGATGAATCAAATAGATTGGAAGAGACTTTGAAAAGCATATAACCAAAGGCTGCAAAACTAGAATATAAAGCGAACAAAACCTTTCTAGCTGTCTTTGCCAATTATTAATATTGTCATTTCTACTATATATATATATATATATAGCTAAAAATGAGCAAACTTATTTTGTATTCCATAATGTTAACAATGAACTGTTTCTTTTATAGGATAACTGGCTCCTCTGCTTTGCAGTTTTTATGAAATACCACAGTATTTTGATAACCTATTCATACTATTTTGAAGCCTATCGTTAGTTTCTGAAAGTATAGATATTTTTATGTGTAATTAAAAAGAGAAAACTATTTATTTTTTGGAATTAACTGGTTGAAATGGACTTCGTAATTTTGTTTTTAACTTAGGATATAATTGATATCATTAATATGTGTATTACATAATATAGGTCTCATTATGTCGCTTTGACGGACCACATATGTATTCAACAAAACTGGAGAAGAAAAAATATCTGTGAGTTTATTCTGTTCTTGAAAACTGTTTTTTTTTATCTTTATAGATACATGTACTTTTTGCGAATCCATAACGTAGGCAAACCTTATCACCATCAAAAGAAAAATGTTTTTGGTGGATTCACAAAACATATAAGATGAGAAGATGTGGCATGATTGCCAATGAGACAACTCTCCACCAGAAACCAAATGAAATAGAAGTTAACAGCTATAGGTCACCGTATGGCCTTTAACAATGAACAAAACGCACACAGCACAGAAAGCTATAAAAGGCCAGAAATGACAAAATGTATAAGAATTCAAACAAGAAAACTAACGGCCTGATTTATGTACAATTATGCATATATTTATTAATTGAATGCAGATATTTAGTTATAAAGTTATCAATATAAATAAACTGTCAGATATCATATGGTTGTCCCTGAAAACAAACTGAGGATCAGAAAGTTTATCAATTATAAAATGTTAGTATAATATTTCATTTGTATTTATAATACTTCTATGCCTGTACCAAGTCAAGAATATGGCAGTTGTTTTCCATTCGTTTGATGTGTTTGAGCTTTTGATTTTGCCATCTGATAAGGGACTTTCCGTTTTTAATATTCCCTGGAATTTGCTATTTTTGTTATTTTACTTTCTAATTATTTTCAACAAACAATGTATTGATGATATCCGTCTATGGTTATTAGAATGACACTAATGCCCATATCTTCATATCAATACAATACCAGATTTATGTCAATGTTTTCGATAATAACCAGATTTTGAAATAAGAATAACAAGTTTTGCATAATATTTAAATGTGACTGAGCTTCTATATATTTTATCATTGCATATATAGTACATAATGTAGCCAGAGTCATTTGAATTTCTCCAGTTTTGACAAGACATCTTTATTTTCGGAGCATGCTGTATACTGAGCAGTTTCTAGCGTTACGGACATGTCTTTTCATATCTAATAGTAAGGCACATGCACTGGTTCTGAAAATGAATAATGGTTTCATGGTTATTTAAAAAAGGCTCCCTGCTTTCTTCATTTATTTATTTTTTTTATTGAAGGAGTTTAGAATTTTTCATAATTCTTTAGAATAATTTTCTGATATATAAGAAAAAAATTCAAACAGGTTTGATTTACTCATAATTTATCTGATACATTCTTTTTCAAAAAGATTTACGTCATCGAAGAAGTTTTGTTTCAGTTTTAGTTATTAATGACTGGAGTTTGTCTTAATTTTTTTTTACTACCCTGTTGATAATATTCTTGTGATCTTTATTGAATTATCCGACCAAAATTGTTTCTTTTTTACTTGAAAAATATGATTTTATCCCCACAGATAAAAATGCAACATCTTTTTTGTGTGTAAATGAAATTATATAAATTGCTTCATATAGGAATTAGGTATTGACCACTCAGGAAACTCAAAATATACCACAAGAGGAAATTATGAATAATCATAGGATTGATCTGTTCTAAGTACTTTTTAATTTCAGTCCTAAATCTTCCTTCACGGTATTGGAAACCTAAATTATTCTGACACTATCTACTCTAGGGTCGATGTGAAGCAGATGTGGACAATACAAAATCCAAAATTCTGCCTATTTCCTGAAATCTGAGTCTTTGTTTTCTTGCAAAGTATAAACATATTTAACTACTGTTTAGTTTCTCACATTCTAAACTGAAATAGAGATTGTAGAATTGGTCCAGCTTTGTTTCGTTTAAATGAATGTCCAACGTTTTTACAAATATCTTTTTTGTAGTGAGGGATACATTATATTGTGTAAAAACAAACATTGTCAACGTACTGCTAACCTTCATAAAATATTTATTACTCAACCAATTTTCAAAAATGAGAGACCAATTTACTCGTTTATAAAAGCAGAACACAGGTAATTGATTAAAAGAGGGAAATTAATAACAAAAAAATAATAATATTCAGGTAACACTACACAGTTAGGAGTGTGGTTTAACATTTTGACCCCGATAGATTTTTCAAATGTGCAATAAAATTTATTTTTAGACAGTTGATGACTAATTAAGCCTTCAAAGGGGTCAATATTAACATCCAGATTTTGTTAATGTTTTATGGGATATTTTCTGTTTGACGGTCCGTATTTTCAAATAACTGGCAATTGGTCCAGAAATTATTGTAATATTTTCAAACACTTTATTTTCACAAGAACGTTTTTGACTCAATATTACGAAAAAATGAGACGAAAGACATATGGTTTTATTTAATCTCGTGACATATAAATCTAAACAGTTTCAACAAAAGGTATCACTACAAGTGATTGAAATTCTACTTTTGGCCAAAGTTTGGGAAAATATGTGACATCTTCGCACCTTTTTTTGCAATATTTTAAAGCAAATAAATGCAGATCATTGCCATGGATACATAAAAAAAGAAATTATATTTGACCATTTTAACTACTGGAAGTCAAATATATGGAAGATACTAGTTATATTCATATACATGACAGAAACAGTAAGCTTGATTTGCAAGAAAGCAAGAAAAAAGGGATGGTAAAATTTATTAGGGTATTTTTAAATTTTTTTTACCTTACTGTATACTGCTACCTATAATATAAGATACACGCCAGGAAAAGGAGAAGATATTGTACTGATTGTCAAAAATGATACATTTATTTTTACGCAGTGGCTTTGCTTTAAGTTATCAAACCACCAATTATCCACCTCATATGTAATTATGTAAAAGTAGCTCTACTCTGACAAAAAAATAGTGATTTGATGTTACTATTTAAGCAAATGTATTTACAGGAATGTAACTTTTTCTGATTATGAAGTATTTTTTAATCATTTGAGCCCAAACCTACTTTTTAGTATATATGTGTGCTAAACAGTATATACTTGATATTTTCAGTAAACCACCATGCTATTGTAGTAGAAGAAGACTTCCAGAACATCATGTGTCACTGCAAGACTTTAAACATTGGTTGAAAATAGGCAGTGGATACATGTATAATTCAGGATAAACATAGTTTTCATGAAGTTAAATTTAAGGTAAAATATTAAAAGGAATATCGGGAGCCTGTAAAACGGTGGTTGTCGTTTGTTGCTGTATCATATTTGTTTTTCGTTTATTATTTTGTACACAAATCAGGCCGTTAGTTTTCTCGTTTGAATTGTCTTTCATTTGTCATTTTGTGGCCTTTTATAGCTACTATGTTGTATGGGTTTTGCTCATCGTTGAAGGCCGTACGGTGTCCTGTGTTTTAACTTCTATGTAATTTAGTCTATGGTGAAGAGGTATCTCATTGGCAATCATACCACATCCTCTTATTTTTATATTGAAGGCAGTATACAATTGTCTATATTGGTGGCAATGACATAAGCATCGGTGCCACCATCAATTCGAATCAATAAAACTATGAAAATCTTTTGTACATTTTGTACTTGCTAAGATCTTAGGCAGATATGTCCACTAGCAAAGGAATACAGATGTGGAACCGGTAGGCCAAATCTACATTGATCATTGCGAGTAGTACAATTTGCAATATTTAGACCATAGCAAATGTTCCCATGCTAACTATAGCTATGCCAAAACGTTTACTGTCAATACTGTGGTTAAGGAGTTCATGACTTAAATACATTTAGGCATGGTTAAACTATGTTTTGCTTTTCATGTCAATCGTATGGTCATAAAGAGAAATTTTGTGATCTATATTGGAGATTGAAGATGGCAATGAAGATATCTAAAAATGAAAAGACTTCCAAAAAATATTTTGATGTTTTATATCAAATTGGTTTTAAACATAATACTTACAAGTGAGTCTGTACTAAAACGATTGTCTTAATTGTTTATTAAAGAAAAGGAAAAATTTCACCAAACTAAATAATTCTTCAAATAGAAAGGCAAGGCAATCACCCATTGGTCTAAAACTAGTTTAAGTGATTGGAACTTAATAAATTTTATCACCAGTATGCCATTTTATGGGAATTTGACAGTGATTAACACCGATACTATAACTGTTTAAGAATCTGCAAATAGTACTTATGAACCTAGATATGATATTATTTATTTGCAATGTGTTATATAATCACCATGAGATCATGTCTTATGAATGAATTTAGGCTTTATTTTTACGTGGGATTAAGTGTATTAATTTCAGCATGTGACATTGTCTTCCTAAATATTTGTTATACATTTACTCATTTACAAGAAATGATTGAAGGAAAAGATAATGTTTTCTTCAAACAAAAGTATAACAATATGTTCACATAACAATGTATTATGCCAACAGACTTGAAAACAATCTAGAGGAAATCAAATGCAAGTTAATGTACTCTTACAATCTTTCAGATATATACTGTTTTTGCAAACCAATTTTGAACAGGAACACTTAGGATAATTTTATAAAAATCCTGGTTTTATTTTAAAAAGAAAAGATAGAATCTCGCGTGGTGGTTTTGGTGCTTATTTTTGCAGAAACAATGTTATGATAGAAAAGCTGAATTTGAAAAAGTGACATTGAAACAATGAGGTTTCAATTTAAACACACAAAAATCATGTTTTATTATGTTTAGTATACATACCTCCTTTTTAATTATTTAATTAATTTATTGGACAAAGAACTGACAACAGCCATCAATCCTAATTAAATATTATTTTAGTTGGTGAGTTATATATAGATTTTTTGAAGCCAAATAAACAACCACTGAAATGGTTAAAAGTAAAATTATAACAAATTGTATTAGATGCATAATCTCAACCAATTAATCCAATAAGCAACAATAGTCACATCTGAATATAGTACCCAAATAGGTCATGATCATGGTAATGTCACCAACAATGATTTGATACTGGAATCACATGTTGCAAATTTCTCAATAAGTGATCACTATTTAGTATGTGTGACTAGGAATAGAAAGAGAACATTGACACACATATTAAATAAGATATTCATACTACAACTTTTCAGACACTTTTTTGCTAAAATTGAATATGAAAGTCATCCAAATACATGTTTTCAGGTGTGGTATGACATCTAACGGATTTCTAGAAAAACATGCACCTAGTGTTACTAAAAAAGAAAAACTGACATCCTGAATGTTTCGAAAATGAAATTATATATGTCAGGAAAATGAATTTAAAGAGAAATGCCATAAACTAGGTCTGAGCTTAAATTTCGGCGAAACAGGATCAACACAGAATTGATGAATCTAAGAGACCTTTAGATTCAAATATGGTAAAAAAAATCAAAGGCACCAATTGGAAGGATTTGTGAAAATGTATTCACGGTCTAAAAACATCACATCAAGAAACACCAAAAAACCTTCTTTAAAATGAAAATGGCGTTAGAACTAAAAATATCAATGAAATTTGTAATGTTTGTAATAAGTTTGTTTCGTTATGTGTTGAACTCCTGCGAACTGGTAGATATGTGAGCGATACTCATGATTATGTAATATTCACTCAATTTTTACAAAATAAATTACTAATTTGAAACCACTTGTCACAATAAATAACCTATTTAATAAAATTATCAAACTTGACATTAAAAAATCCACCGTGTCTGATAACATGGGACCAATAATTTCAAAACTATGTGCTCCTTTCATGACTTCATCTTTAGCTAACATTTTTAAAAGCATGATAGATACAAATACATTACCAACTGTTCTAAAGAATGTAAGAGTAATCCTTGTTTTTAAAGTTGGGGGAAAATCCATGTCAACAAACTATAGACCAATTTCTGTACTTCCTGATTTATCCAAAATTTTAGAAAAGCATGTTTCAGAACATTCGTATGACTTTTTAAAAAGACTTCATCTTTTACACCCAGCACATTCTTGGTTTAGGCAAGAACACTCTTGCCAAATTGCCCTTCTCCATAGCATTTCAGTCCTATTGGATTTTATAAAACATTTGTTGTAGTAGACCACGATATATTTTTTTAAAAACTTGAAATTTATGTACTTGATAATGCAGCTGTTTCTTTTTTCAAATGTTATTTGAATGAAAGAACTCAACAAAAATTATAAATTGGTAATGCTCATTCTAAAAAAAAAGAATATGTCCTTATATGTCCTCTTCTGTTTATTTTATACATAAACGACTTTCATTTCTACATGAAGAATTGTTGCACTGACTTAATGCTGATGATTCAACTTTACATCTGTCTGGTAATTGTTAACATACTCTGCAATCAAACATTGTCAAAGGTACAAGAATATTTGCATTGCGTTGAGGAATGATAACAATATGTTTAATACTAAAATAAAACAAAGTATATGATAATGGGAACATAGCAAGAATCTCGTAAGATATTTTGTGAAATAATCCCAAAATTGTAAGTTTTTTACAACAAAAAATGAAATTTTAATGTACTTTACAATAATTGAATGATATAAGCTCTGAACATTTAGTATTCTTTCAAATAAACTGATGCGTGTGATTATATAAAGAGAAGTTTTATGGAAAGATGCTTTTGTTTTATTAATCGAAATGTCTAACAAATGATTATTTACATTCCAACTGGCAGATACTGTGTTTACGTAAAATTATTGTTATCGATAGCAAATGAGAGACAAGTTAAAGGTTAATGGCAAGGTAATTTTTAGAAAATACGGGTTACGTTTATCTCATAAGCTGGTAGGCTTTTATCTTTAAAATATTCATGGATGTCGGTTTCCAGAAAGCACTTCGTTATATAAGTGTACACCACAAGAGTTTAACTAAATTGACTTTGAGCTATAGGCGTTCCATAGAGGAACATTTGTTAATGTAATATGTCCTGACACTGTATTTGTGGAATTAATATAAAACAAGAAGTTTTCCAGATGGATGTTCTTCGTTGTAATGGAATTTGTACCGTTATATCCGGTACGGTAAGGAGAATACATTTTAAACCGATTGTACTTAATATAATATAACTCTTCTATTGCATTATTGATATTTATCTACATGTTTTTCTTTTCTTTGACATAACACTCCCGACTGGCTGCCCTTGTCCACTATTTGACTGTTGTTGATCCCCAAAAACACTTCTATTCTCTGGTTCATCCATATCAACTGCATACTCTGTTTCAATCCGATCAACATTCTTCTCTGTTTGAATCCGACCAATAATTTTTCTTTCCTGATCAGCACCAATCAACTCTAAATCAATAGCGTTACCACCTGCTTGACTTTTGATACCCAATTCTATATTTCTGCATGGAGTTCTTTCAGACACTTCTAAAGTAGAAGCTAGATTATTTAATTTTACATAAAGGTATACTGATGATGTTCTTTCCAATATCAATCAAAACTATTCGGATTGGGTCCCATTGATATATTCTCCTGAACTAGAGATTAATGAAACCATTGATACAGCTTCCTCCGCATAATTTATAGACATTTACCTCGAATTTGACAACAGTGGGCACCTCAATACCAGAATTTATGACAAAAAAGACGATTTCGGTTTTGAAATTATGAATTTTCCTCAGCTTAGCAGCAATATACCATCCGCGTATGGAATATACAACTTTCAACTCATACAACTCAACGATATTCAAGAGCTTGTGGCTGCTACTCAGACTTCGTAAAACGTCATCGGTGACTGAGCAAAACATTATTGAGCCAGTGTTTTGCCAAAGAAGTCTCACCTTTTTCATAAAAAAGTTTATCGGAAAGATAATAGATACATATTTAGTTTCTACTATACAAATAATACAAGATGGTCTTGAGTTATAGATTCTACGTGCTGAAGTTCTGTATCTTTTAATTCTACTTTAGTTTCCCCGTTTTTTTTTTCTTCGTGCTATTTTGTTTCTTTTGGGATTATGACTTTGACTGACTCAGTATTTATGCGTTCGTGCTATCGTTTTTTTGACGTTTTAACTTCTGGCATTCCTGGCGCAGGTGTGTCCTGAGGTGCGATTCATACACATTTGTATTTATATTTACTCAATTTTTACTTTATCGAGAAAGTGTATACTATACACAGTATATACTATCAACGGCAAACACTTTTTTTGTTGACGTCATTGTCAAATGTACTACATACTACACATTTGTTGTTGGCGTCTTGGTTAGATTAATGTGTATGTCTGTTTGAACTTTTTAGTCAAATGTGTTGTATGTCTGTGATGTATGTTAACAAGGTTGTGGCTGCTGGATCCAAATGATTTTCACATTAATCTATCATGTCTGTTTGGGTTGTTCGCCGAATTTTGTCAATATAACCGAACTATAAACAACTGCAATACACATGGGAGGTTTAGCTAGCGATAAAACGAGGTTTAACTCACCATTTTCTTTGAAAAATGCCTGTACCAAGTCAGGAAATTGGCAGTTGTTTTTCATTTGTTCCGTTGATTGATAGCGATTGATTTGTCAGTTTTTATGGACTTTCACTTTTTGAATTTGACTTAGAGTTCAGTATTTTTGTTATACTCTTTCATAAATAAATAAAATGGAGTTTTGCATAAGAATAATGTAAAACTTATCTAATAAAAACAGTAATTCATATATAATACTTAAGGAATTTATTATAATGGAGTTTATAATATAAAGAAGAACTAAGTAAAATCTACTACACACATGAAACTTGTTATAATGGAATTTATTATAATAACGTTTTCAATGAAACGTAGATACATTGTGACACAGTGTGTGTAAGGGAACTTATCATAATGATTATGGAATCTTAAAATGATATTTCCGAGAAAATACTTAATGTTCTGGAATCTGATAGTAGTATTACTATGATACATGTAATTTCGTAACTCGTTAAATAATCACGAATTCTCTAAATATACTGCTGGAACTCATACACAAAGGAACTCACTTTAAATAAATCAAATAAGAACAGCAATAACTGTCCTTTCCTAGATTTAGATATTTCAGTGTTACACCAGAAACTCTACACAAAAATGTACGACAAAAGGGATGAATTTTCTTTCCCTATTGTTAATTTTCGTTTTTTGGACGGCGATTTTCCTTTAACACCGTCTTACGGTTTTTATATATCCGGACTCGTTCGCTATGCCCGTGTCTGTAGTGACGTTTTGAGTTTCAATGAGCGTAATCTATGTATTACAAGTAAATTATTAAGTCGGGGATTTCGTTACCACAAATTACGTGAAACCCTTACCAAATTCTTCCATAGATACAAAGATTTGGTTTGCAAGTTTGGCTGCACCTGTATAAAACTTATTTCAAACGGAATAGCACATCCTAAATTTTACGGCGATTTTATTAACCGAGCCCTGGAATTTAGATACGATCCGGGTAAACTTATCAATCCTTTAACATGTTTAAATAAACTTATTGTAAAAGGTTACCAATTCAACACTGTAATTAAATCTTTGAATTTTTTTTTTAATTGGTGTAAGTACTGATTTTGTTATCAGTAAATTAAAACCATACTAAATATTACACATATGTACTTTCACGGTACTACAATCTGTCGATATCTATATTTTGGCATTGCACAAGGTAATGTTTTTCTCTGATTGTTAATGACGTCTTTACACTGCATACATTGGATCTTGGATGTGTACTGATTAATATCTTAGTCCTAGATACATGATTTTTTTTATTAGTTGTTATTGGCTTTGAACTAGCTGTCAGTAATTGCGAGTACTCTAAGATATGTAATTAGTGTTTTTTGTTGTTGTTGTTAGGGATGAGAGATGGATATATACCCTGCCACGTCCTGTCTGTGTTTTTATTTTTTCTTTGTATCGATCTGACGTGTTAAGCCTTTTTCAACTGATTTTTATACTAAATAGTTTGTTCTTATGTTGTGCTTTTACACCACTTTCCTAGGTAATGGGAAAGATTGAGCGCTCACAAACATGTTTAACCCCGCTACATTCTGTATGTGCCTCTCTCAATTTAGGAGCATGTAGTTCAGTGGATGTCGTTGGTTCATGTCTGTCATATTTTTTTTTTCGTAAATTGTTTTGTTATAAATTCATGAAATTAGGCCGTTAGTTTTCTCAATTGAATTTTTTCATATTTTTCATGTCGGTGCCTTTTATAGCCAACTCTACGGTATGGGTTTTTCTCATTGTTGAACTCCGTATGGTTGCCTATAATTGCTTACATCCACTTCATTTGAATTTGGTGGATAGTTGTCTCATTGGCAATCATATCACGTCTGTTTTATATGGTGACTGCAATTGAAAACAAGATAACAGTGTTGCCAAAGATAGGTTAGACAATGCATAATTTGTAAATATGATTTTCGAAAAATGATATGCAATGATGCAATTTTTTATGAGTGTGTTCTCATAAGTAATGCATTGTTACGTAATGGAAACGTTTACAAATAATTGAAATTTATATATTTTTACGATGAAAATTTTATGAGATAGTTTGATTTTAAGGGACACAGCTAGTAGCAATTTTATCCACATGCAAAGTAAAAGACAGTAAGTAAACTTAAAAGTCAATACATTTTGTTTATGCTGTTGTTCGGACATTATACTTATTTGGGTCATTCGTTACACATATATGATACAATCAAGAATAAACAGCCATTGGTTATAATAGAAACTGAATTATTGCAATGAAAGATAGTTACTTTCAGGTTTTAACTGTTGGCAGCATAAACATATTAATTTTTTCTCATCAAATTTAATGAATACACATATTCAAAATAAAGCAATAGGCCTTCACATTTTGCATGAAGCGCTAATGCGCATCTCGCTAAAATGTTATCGTAGTTTGATGTCTTTTCGTAAACAAATAAGGAATTATACCTTATTTCTTTGATATTCGATATACAATGATACATGGTTAACTAAATAACGTTTTGAATATGATAGTAGATTTTTAAACACATACTTTTGGCTGAAATGAAGTAGTGGTATCAAAACATTATTCTCCCATATGAAATCAGTTGTACATCATATAGATAAAATTTCAAAATGTATATATCATTTTTAAAGTAGACAGTTCATAAAAGATTTATTACATTTCAAAATTAATTTGTGTCACTCATTCATATGTTTAATACAATTTTACCTCTTTTTTCAAATTGATAAAATCAATACACTTTGTCGAAGTTTTAAAAACATTAATCATTGCCACAACTACATTAAGATAGTAGAAATAGCGTTCAGAAATAAGTTGGGCGAAGCCACTAATTCAATTCATGGGATTGCTTTACATAAATTGGAAACATACGAAGAAGGTAATTCTTCTTGCAGCCAATAAAAAGTCAATTTATGAATACTTTCAACACTGACTGTAAATGTTGCCTGGTAAATTAATTATTATTACGTTTGTATATTCATTGGATCAATTTATAACTAATAAACATCCGTTGAAGCTGGTTGAAAGCATTCAATGTCTAGATAATAATGGCTTCGTGGGCAAGAAATATATTATTATATACAGTTGTCATGTATATATAAGTTATCATGTATATCTTTTTTATTGTAAGTTAAAATGTAGCTGAAATCAGTATTTCACAGCAATAAATCAAAATGTATGATGAAAACATATCTTAGTTTTCAAATGTTGAAAAAAGCTACATATTTATATATGTCTAATGAATTATGCAATATTTAGAATAGATAACACCGTGTTAAAGACACTTTTCATAAAATGATGGACACCTTAGGGTTTTTTTTAAATATGGAGAAATTGAGAGTTTAAACGCCATACACAAGCTAGACATGTTCCGGCATATCAACTCGTTTAGGAGATTGGACACGTTGGAGGGGGAAGGACACGTTTATGAGTGTTACACATATATATATTGTTTTTTAAGGAATAAACATAATGAAGATTTCAATTCATCCCATTTTCGATCGCTTTCTTTGCTTTCACAGATCTTCAGGTACAATATGACTTGTATACATCGTGTACACAACGGATTGACGTTAACAATGACACAAAGTGACAATTAATGGTAACAAACAAACACTAGGAGATAGCATGACTTTTCAAAAGAGCGAAACCGCCTAAGTGGCTTCTGCTATGTATACACCAACCGCAATGCGAATTCACAATCAGTCAAAATGTCACAATTGGCATAGAACACAATTATTTACAATGTTTCTTCTTTTATTGTTGATAGTTAGTCTTTTTCCATAGTTATGCCAGACATTTTGTAACAAACTAAAAGGGCCTCCCTCTTTAAGCGAAGTTGTCTCCAGTAAATGTGACTATTATCTTAGAGTATTTGGATTTTGTTGACCTGTTCTCC